AGTAGTGTGTATATATATATATATATATATATATATATATATACATATACAACATATACGCGTCTATCAAGGAAAAACGCAAGCAGCATAACTTTTAATACCGATGACTTTTAATAATGATAAATATACAATAACGGTACTTGAATTAGCAATTATATTAATAAACAATCTATCATATCGATAATTGCTTGGTATTTGCAAATTGTATTATTTTTTTCTCTAAAAAACTAATTTTAAAATAATAAGTAATAAAATAAAAATTGCCATCACAAGTTAATTTAAACGAGTCAGTTGCTTTATATCTTTGATCTAAATGATTCAATTGCTTTGCCATCTTTGAATTTTGTTTTTATAATAAACTAAACATTTTTTGACAAAATCGATATCAAATAAAAAAGAAAGCCATGGTTCTCTTTTTTCCATTGAATACATATATGACTCCAATCTTCGAATTTGTATCCTTAAGGATGTTATTCTCTTGAAAACATATAAAGCTCATCAAACCTTGTTTTGTAAAAACAAAGTGTCATTTGTTAAAATTCTCTTGCTTATGCACGCAGAATTACTTTGTTAATAGAATTCGAAATTAAAAATTATTATTAAAATTTGCGATCACGCTTTTGTTTCATAAACCATCAATATATTCATTTCATCCTATTAATCTTATTTTTTTTCATTAGAATGTTACCTAGGATTTGAAGACTATTGCAATTGTCCCATTAGCGGCGACGCGGCTACTAAACTTTCGGAAAATTGGCAAGAAACTGAAAGACATCTCAAATGATGTCCGACGCGAGAACACTCCAGACTATTATTAGAGAATTCGCCAACATTATAGTTCTATCCATATAAATACGCTCGGCAAATGATTCATAATGTGACATAATCACAATCTTACTTGTAATACGTATAAAAGATTCAGTTGTCATATCTAAAGATATGTAATATTGCATAGAAATCGAAAATGTTACTATAATTATAATATCGTATGTATTTTCCTTCTTTCCTATTTTAAATAATGTAAGAAAAATATCAAGAGCAAATGATCAAGACTGGAAATCAAACAGGAAAATGTTCGCTTGCTTCTATAAGACGTTTCTAAATTCCTTCAACGAAATTCTTCATTTTATCATAATAAACGGTAAAGTTCATATAAACTTATAATCTGAAAATACGTATCATTAATGTAATCTTTGATGCTACTAAAATCTTTGATGAACCACTTCAACCTGAATTACCAGATTAAATATGTACTGTTCATCAGCAGTTTAGTTAGTCTGAGCGAATTCTATTATATCTAGCTTTAGACTCAGTGTAATTAATCCACGTAACCCACGCATAAATTTCAGATACAATGTAAAACAAGAATTCACAGAATTCTTGTGATTAAAATAGAAATAAATAATCCTGTAACAGTTAAATCAAGCATAGTAATCAAAATAAAAATAACGCAAAACTGTTAGATATTATAGAGATCAAGAATTAAAGGTTCAGGAAAATTTAGAAAAAAAGACACGTCTCTTGATATTTAATAATATCTATATCCAGTAGTATATCTAACCTAGTATCTTATCTCTACAACTTATAAAGTCTTCTATGAAAGATCGTGTACAAAATAAGCGTACAATATAAATCGGCGACGTGTAAACAAGAGGGGCTCGCGAACTACGCGCGAGGCTCGCGAGGCGGAGTAACGTCGGGCTCGAATAAAAGGAATAAGAAATTGATTAAAAAAATTTTCAGGTAAATCCTAACCGGTGTGCACCATCGGTCCTAGCGGGTCGAATCTCACTCGGTGCTCCGTCGAATTCTGCGCAGCTTGCAACAAATCGGAGAAGAATCTGTGCCGCCTTAAAGCTAACTCGTCGCGGGCGACGGGCGTCGCCGGCGGTTCCTGCATACCGCTGCATCCACCCGAGACGTATTCGCCGTCGTCCTCTTCCGACAACCAACGTGGAATCGAGGAAACTACGAAAACG